CTGGGTGAGACGTAGGGAGACGCAGTGAGACGAAGAGCAGGGCCGAAGCCACATCCGCCGTGCACACTGCAGCAGGCCTGAAGGTCACTCGGCTCCCTGCGCCGAGCGAGTCCTCCTCCATGAGATGGGACTCATTTTAGAGACCTCCATACGTCTCGCAGAATGATGGCCATGCACAGCAGGGATTTAATGTGCGAGATACGTAGGTGTGTGTACGGAAGGGTAGCATGGCACGTGGGGACCTGACTGCTTAGGACAATGAAGCTTCTTGTCCCAGTCTCACGGTGGTCCCTGGGCTGAGCTTAAGCCAAGGTTGGACATCTGAAGTGCCCACACTTGGGTCCTGTGGCTGCCCTGAAAGCGCTCCCCGGGGTACTTGGTGAAGCCAGACTGGATTTAGAGCCTTGCCGGTCTACTAATGGTCCACTAATGTGCCAGTCATAGTGTTGGCGTCTCATGGTTCTTGGTTGTCCCGGACCAGACCCAGGGCTTAGTCTCCTGTGCTGCGGCTTGCTTGGCGAGACCTGCAGGGAAGTAGCGTAAATGCTTCTGTGTGGTTGTGTTGTGACCCTCAGTTAGAGTGTAGCATGGGGGCTTCTTAGCTGCAGAACCGCTGGGTAGGGAAGCAACAGACATTCTCTTCTGATGGACTGAGGAGGTCACCGTGTGTTTTGCATCCCATCAGGTTGGGTATAATTACTCCATCGGGTGGTCTTAAAGAGGCCAAAGGAAACCAAGTCTGGAGTGGTGTCATGGGGACGCATTGCTGAGTGTTCCCAGATGCGCTTCTATACAGCTTTAGGCGCAGCCATACTTCGCACTGCTCGGATGAAGTGTACATACCGCAGGATTGTCCCCAAGTCGCCCTGGAGCGCACTGCGTGGGGAGGGGCTGATTCGGCTCCATGTGGCCCACCTTCCTTTGGTTTCAGTTCAGGAGGGGGGGCCGACTGTTTTGTTCTGCTTCTAGCATTTTTCTCATTTTCTAGTAAAGAAGGGAGTGCATTTTCTTTTTCGAGTGACTCACAGAGCCTGACATGCCCTGCGGGGTACGTGTGGGAATGTGTGGAGGGAGGGGTGTGCTGCCTTCCTCGGCTGGTGCTGGGTGTTGTGACCCCTTCTGTAGGAATGCTTCTGCCAATCGTCTGTTCATCTGATGCTGTTCATTTGCTAGCCTGTAGAATCTTTCCACATTGTGGCATTTTCACCTGGTGCCAGAATCTGGGCACTCTTCCCTTGGCTTCTGGACCTGCTCCTTTTGCGGTGGTTCCTGCGCTGGCCCCAGGAGCCTGAGGTCTCTGCTTAGCACCTTTGTGGTTTCTTCAAAATCGTGATGCAAATAGGAGACTCTACATTAAGATGGAGGTCAAGTTTTAGCCAAAATTAGGAGTAATTGGAAATTCAATGTACTTTTCAGTTAACTTTGATTTTAATCCTATTCTTGAAAGATTTCAGTTATTCAGATTTCCAGCAGACTACATGGCCTTTCTGTTGAAGCATTTGATGTCAGGAACACTATTCTTCAAGCGACACCAAATTTAAAAGTCCTGTGTCTGACAGGGCATTTTTCCCTAGTGATTGGATTGTTTCTATGTTTGAAGAAGCTCACAGACAACCTGCGTCGTGAGCCGGATCTATGGGAGAGCTGGGAGCAGAGCTCTTGGACCTTCCCAGGTTCTCGGCCGTTGACTTTGGTTATCCTGGGCTGCTGCGGTCCCTGCAGACTGAAGTGAGCCCTTCCTCTTAAAATAGCAGACTGTTTAATTGTTTCCTTTAATTATACTTTCAGGAGCATTTCAAAGGATTATTATCCTCTTTGTCATACCTGGCGCATTTCCTGGTGCGAAACTCAAAATAGGATCTGATTCTGCTGGTTGCGTAACACCCTGAGTCATGGTTTCTTCCGGTGTGTCGGCCGTGGCTTACTGGATTTGCAGCCTCCAGCTCAGGCATCCCATGTATCCATGGTATACAGCTGCCATTTGAAGTTCCTTCAGGGCTTTCACAGGGATCCTCTGCCTTTCCAAAGGAGTGTTTTGTTGAGTTTCCTCTAAGGTTTTTAAGTGCTCCCAAGTAGAACAAATACCAGATGTAAAAAATCCCTAGCATATCAGCTAACTGTGAAACTAGCATGTGCTTATTTATTAGCACATTTTTGCACTGCATATTTTCCTGAAAAAAAAATTAGCAAGACAAACATCTTCTAGGGAGAAATTAGGATGATGAATAGCTTTGGGATTTTTAATATTGTACAATGGTTGATATTTAATTACTCATTGAATACTAACTAAGCTGTTCTACCTACTATATTAGTAGGAAAAATTTTACAGATAGCTTTCTAACGCTAATTCGTGTTAATTAATATCTGAAAGTACTAAGTAGTTAACCAATTAAATGACTCGAGAATATTGGTATCCTATTCTTCTTGCTCTTTTTGTACAACTACTCCAAACTTCTTGTCATCTTGTGTTATCTATTCCTTGTACTTTGTGAGGCCTGTAGTGCCAGGGACTTCTGCCCTTCCAGCCACAACTCTGGTCTGCAAGCCCTGTCCTCCCTCTGCAGCGCCACTCTCTGTCTGCAGGCCCCGCCTCCTGTCTGCAGGCCCCGCCTTCCATCTGCAAGCCCCACATCTCATCTGCAAGCCCCACCTTCTGTCTGCAGGCCTCAACTCCCATCTTCAGGCCCCTCCTCCTGTCTGCCGTCTTGCCCTCTGCTGTGTCTGTTGGCACCCAGACTCTCCTTTTTCTGTGACAACACAAGCCCTGGCATTTTTTGGTTTCTCAAAGAAATACATATTTTTATCCCCTTGAGAAACTAATTTCTGAAGTTATTAACTATCAAATTTTAAAATAATTTTATTCCAAAAAGCACAAACATTTGTTGCATTCTCTGATGTCAGAATTAAGAAAACCTGAGCACGAGCTGATTGTCTTAGGTCAGCACATTCACCCTGGGTTCATGTCTCAGTCCTGCCTCTCTTCATGTAAAAGTGCCATGGTGCCTGGAGTCTTTGCACTGAGCTGCATCCCTGCCGTTTGATCTTATTGATGGAACAAGTTTGGTTTTTATAGTACCTCTCAGGATGGGGGATGTGTTTGTTAAATCAGTTCCATTTCAGCGCTTTTTTGTGCATTGGGTGTTTTTGTTTTGCATTTCTAAAGAAAGAACACTTTTTAGTTTTGGTTAAGTATGGTATTTTGGTATAATGACGGTTTAATGTCAATTTAAGTGTAATGTCTGGGAAGTGTGGTGTTTAAGTATAATGTTTATTTGAGAATATTAACTGATCAGAATACAGAACTGAACCCTCATCAGCTCTGAGGAGGCAGGTTCTCATGTTGCAGCACAGAGCACATTGCAGGCCACCAGGAGTCAGAATCTTCTGCGTCTTTCTGTTGGCTTCAGGGTGTGCATCGCTCTTACGATTGACATAGTCTTTTCTGCGAGTCTGCATTTTCGGTGCGCAATTGGATGGGAAGGAAAGTTTCTTTTCCTGCATACATCCCATCAGTTTGCTTCCACTTCCGGGGACACATCTGAGGATATGAGAGGGGGCTGCTTGCAGGGACTGGGATTTCCTGAGACTGAAACTCCGTTTAGCCTTGTGACACAGATAGTTTTGGCCTGGGTTTGGTTTTGAAGCCTGTTTAGATGACCTTTTGCTACTTCTCTTTCTTGAGGAGTTGGCTTCTAAAGGGTGGGAGAAAACACTCATGTTTTTATTTCACATGGTACAGCATAGAACTCGCCTGTGACGCCTCGGCAAGCAGTCCTGCCGTGGGCTCTCTAGGGGACACCAGCTGGGCATCCTGCAGTTCAGTTCTGATACTTTCTGCCTGGAGACAGTGTCAGATTCCGCAGGGTGATGCTCCCTTCAGATCCTAGTTGCAAGTCATGGCGTGTCACCTATACTTCTGACTGACTGGCTATCAGGGTTTTTATGCCCCCTCCCTAGGTTCAGTTTGTTTGCTAGGACAGCTTGCAGAATTCAGGGAAGCACTTGACTTGCATTCACCCGCTTATTGTAAAGGGCATTACAGTGGGCACAGATGAACAACTGGGTGGAGAGACACACAGTGCAGGCTGTGGGAGAGGAGAGGGGCTTCCATGCTCTCTCCAGGAGTCCCATCCCCCAGGCACCTCCATATGTGCAGCTGGCGGAAGTCTGTCCAAGCTCCATCTTGCCAGGCTTTCATTTGGCAGTCATTAGCGGCAACTCACCTTGGGTAAGCCTCATTGGCCATGAGGCTGCCACTGTGGAAGCCCTGTTGGGTTTTTTGAGGGGCTTCTTTCCATACACATGATCGATGAAGCCGTTGGCCATTGGTGATCAACTCCATATCCGGCCTTCTCCCATCCCAGGAGGTTGGGGGCGAGACTAGCTTTGAGTTCTGTGCCTGAACTGCATCCCTGTCATTTGATCTTCTTAATGCAAGGTCAGGCTTCTGGACGAGTCTCAGGGCATCTTGCTTCTGGCAAAGAAGAGCTGAGGTTGTCTAGCCCTGAAGTGCTGATGTCCTCACTTGCCCTCACCGCATGGGCCTGGACCCCAGCAGTTGCTGGGACTTCTCTTGTTTGAGCAGAAGGCCGCTCTTTGAATGAGACTGTCACTCTGAGCACTGAAGTCGTCTGTAAGGGCTGATGTGAAGTCATTTCAACTTGAAATTAGCGAGCCAGACTTCTGTAAAAGACTCCTGTCTGTAAGACTCAGAAAGCCTATCACTGTGAGTCCCTTTATTCATCAGAAAATACATGAGTCACGCGCGAATGTGGGAGGGCTTAAAGGCACTGCGTGTTTGTGTGATGGAACTCAGAACAGTCATCATACAGTGTTTCTGAAGAATACTGATGGAAGTGCTTGTGTCTTGTTAAAAGTGAAAGGGATACCGAAGTTAGTATTTGCTGTCCCACTTAAAGCGTATTTACGGAGAAAAGCTTGAATGCACTACACAGTGAGATCCCGATTGAAGAAGCACGCCATTTTTCTTTCTCTTTCAGCGAATCTCCCAGTGCCAACGATTGCTGCAATAGACGGACTTGCCTTGGGTGGTGGTCTTGAACTGGCTTTGGCTTGCGATGTACGAATAGCAGGTGAGAATTCATTCTGTTAAAAATGTGAAAGGTTGAAGCTTGTGTTTACTCTTCAAATAAGTCTAAATATTTTACCCAGCTTTCTTTTGTTGAGTGAAACATTTTTTAAAGAGTTACCCAGTCTTTAAATAATGTGTTGGGCTTAATGGTGCATTTAAAATTTTCACTTACAAAAACAGTCTTTTGTTGTTTCTTGCCAGGGTTATGGCTACAGTCATGGTAACATCATCTCTTTGCAGTCCACTTTCTTCCTGAATGGTTTTTCTGAGGATTGTCAGAGGTGAATAGGGGATGGTGAGAACAGCCAGCGCTGCTTGCTGTGTGCTGACCAGTAAGCCCAAGACCTGGTGCATGTCCCTCCCCCACCTGCTGTCAGCCCTGAGGGCAGGGATCTGGGCATGGGAGGCAGCTGGCGCAGAGCAGGGAAGTTGAGGCCCACAGAAGTGGCTGAGCTGGGGTTGAACCAAGGCTGTCTGGCATCGCAGCCCACGCTTGGTTCACACACGGAGCAGTGTGCCCTAGGGTGCTGTTCACGTCTGTGGGCGCTGTGATCCCTAGAGCCTCAGCTCTGCGGTGTCCTCAAGCTCCAAGACAGAGAAGCGGGCGGAACAGGCAGCACAGCGTGGTCGCCATTGCCCTCCGGGTTCTCCTAGCTCTGGTGATGGCTGCATGTTGAAACAGCCCAGTTCAGTCTCAGTAACTGTGCGACTGTGTTGTGGGGTCTGTAGTTGCTGGCCCTTCTTTTCACTGTATGGTAGGCCCCTCCTTCTTGGGATGAAGTCATTGGGTTTAAGTTGAAAAGCTGAGGTTCATGTCACTCGTTTCTGAAAGAATGCAGGCTCTGGGAACCAGGATCTGAGAAGTAGTCTAAGGACATTTGGATATGCAGATAAATAATCGAGATGCTTTAAAGTAGCCATGAAAACAGACATGAAAAGAAGGTCCCTGTCCAGGCATTAGAAAAGTAAACCAGTTGCTGGAAAGTAACACCAGACGTGCTCTGGAGAAGCTGCCATGTCTGATGTGTAGATTGAGCTGTTGGACCGGGATGCAGGCCTTCAAATACAGCTTGACAATGTTGAGCCTCATGCTGTTGGAACAGTCCTGGGCTGGGGAATCCAGACCTTCAAATATGGCTGCAGTGTCGGGCCTTATGCTGTAGGGACAGCCCTGGTCTTTCTGCATCAGAAATTAATTTACTGCTGAGCAGTTTTTAATAGAAAATGTGATGTGACTTTCCTGATACATGTTATTTGGAGTGTTTACTTATTTTTTTGTAACTGAATGCCTTTTGAAGTGATTTTTAAAGAATGTGTGACATCAACTTAATTAGCAAATAGAATTGTATCATATTTTAACTTTTTCATGTAGTCATGTTTGTAAGTGATGACATAATGGTACTTAATTTTCTTTCTTTCATTCTAGCTTCCTCTGCAAAAATGGGCCTGGTGGAAACAAAGTTGGCCATTATTCCTGGTGGAGGTATGAGCTTCACATCATCCCATAGTACTTTGATTTCTTCCTAGAAACAGGGCACAAGGCAAAAATGTGTTAATGGGAAAAGGAACAGTTTGGGCTAAGTGACCTAAGCAAAACTTCTATTCTGGACATAGGCGTACCTCAGAGATAGTGCCAGTCAAGTCCAGACCACTGCAGGGAAGCAGGTATTGCACCACAGCAAATTGTGCTCCAGTGCAGGCAGAAGTTACATTTGTGTTACACTGTAGACTGTGGAGGAGCTATCACACTGTATCTAGAAACACAATGTACATACCTGAATTTAAAAATACTTTCTGGCTAAGAAATCGAGTGATCATCTGAGCCTTCAGCAAGTCATGATTGCTTTGCTGGTGGAAGGTCTTGACTTGATGTTGATGGTGCTGACTGATCAGGTAGTGATTGCTGAAGGCTATGACTGTGGCAGTTTCTTAGAATAAGACAACAGTGAGCCTTGCCACATCGATAGATTCTTCCTTTCACAAGAGATTTCTCTGCAGCCTGTGATGCTGTTTGATAGTTCTTTACCCACAATAGAGCTTTTTCAAAAGTGTGGTCATTCCCCTCAAACTCTGCCACTGCTTGATCAACTTAGTTTATGTAAATCTTTGTTGTCATTTTAATGATGCTCATGGCATCTTCACCAGGAATAGATTCCATCTCAAGAAAACCATTTTCTTGGCTCATCCATGTGAAGCGATGCCTCATCTTTTCAGATTTTATCATGAGGTTGCAGCAGTTCAGTCACGTCTTCAGGCTCCACTTCTCATTCTAGTTATCTTGCTATTTCCTTCCGTCACTGTAGTCTTGAGCCTCTCAAAGTTCTAGTGCATGAAGGTTGGAATCCACTTCTTCCCGGTTCTCGGCAATGTTGATATTTTGACTTCTTCCCATGAATCAGGAATGTGCTTGATGGCATCTGGAATGGTGAATCCTTTCCGGAAGGCTTTCAATTTACTTTGTCTGGATCCGTCAGAGGAATTACTATCTAAGCAACTGTAGCCTTACAAAATGTGTTTCTTAAGTACGAAGACTTGAAAGTCACACTCCTTGATCCATGGGCTGCAGAATGGATTCTGTGTTAGCAGACATGGAAACGTTCATCTCCTTGCACATCTCCATCTGTGCCCTTGTGTGACCAGGGTTATTGTAGTTGAGCAGTGAAGTTTTGAGAGAGCTTTTTTCCTGAGCAGTAGGTCTCAATAGTGCACTTAAAATATTCAGTAAACCGTGCTGGATACCAGATGTGCTGCCATCCGGGCTTTATTGTCCCATTTCTAGAGCACAGACACAGTTGATTTCACTTGGTTCTAAAGGGCCTAGGGTTTTTCGAGTGACAAATGAGCAATGGCTGCAATTTCGTGTCACCAGCTGCATTAGCCCCTAACTAGAGCGTCAGCCTGTCCTTTGACACTTTGAGGCCGGACGTTGACCCCTCCTCTGCAGCTATGAAATCCTAGAGAGCATCTTCTAGGCTAGCATCTTTTAGGCTACACCAAACACCAAATGTTTGGTGTAGCCGCCATCATTAGTGACCACAGCTAGATCTTCTGGAGGACGTGCTGCAGTTTCCCTGTCGGCACTTGATGCTGTGCCTTTCCCTTTCACGTTGTGGAGATGGCTCCTCTCCCTAAATTTCATGAACCAACCTTTGCTGGCTCCAACTTTTCTCCTGCAGCTTTGCACCTCTCTCTGCCTTCTGACTCTAGAATTAAAGACAACTAGGGCCTTGCTCTGGGTTAGGCTTAAGGGACTAGGGTGGCTGGTTTCATCTTCTGCTCAGGGGACTCATACTTTCTCCATATCAGCAGCGAGGCTGTTTCGCTCTCCCAGCACTTGTGTGCTCACTGGAGTCATATTTCTAATTTCCTTCAGTAATTTGTCTTTTTGCATTCACAGCTTGGCTGTTAGACCTAGCTTTTGGCCTAACTCAGCTTTTGACATATTCACTAAGCTTGATCATTTCTAGCTTTTGATTTCAAGTGAGAGATGTGGAATTCTTCCATTCATTTGAGCACTTACAGGCCATTGTCAGGTTATTAATTGGCCTGATTTCAGTATTGTTGTGTCTCAGAGAATAGGGAGGCCAGAGGGGAGAGGGAGAGAGACTGGGAACCGCCAGTTGGTGGGGCAGTCATCACATACAATGTGTATAGCTTACGTTTGCTGTTTTATATGGGCATAGTTTGTGGCACCCTGAAACAGTTACAGTGGTCACATCAAAGATTACTAATCACAGATCACCAGAGCAGATAAAATAGTGAAAAAGTCTGAACTGTTGCAAGAATTACCAACTTATGGCACGGAGACATGAGATGACCACGTGCCGTTGGAAAAATGATGCCAATGGACTTGCTTGATGCAGGGCTTCCACAGACTTTCAGTTTATAAAAATGTAGCACCTGTGAAGTGTGGTAACGTGAAGCTAAATTATACAAGGTGTGCTGTGGACTCTCTTTAGCTTAGTAGATAGTGAAGATGCTGGTCTGAAGTTTTAAATTCCTGTCCTGGTCATTTTAGTACCACTGTTTGGATCTCTTCTGGAACTACACAGATATTGGAAACTTCTGTGCATTTCAATGTGTGCACCCTCACCAAGAGCTTCCTGCACACAGTCAACCCGAGTGGAGGAGTGAGGGTTTCCCAGGCTTCATGCTACCTCGCTTGTGTTTCTTTGCCGCAGTATGAGGGTTGCAGCTAGTAGGTACCTGAGTTTGGAGCTGAAGAAGTGTTGTTTCTTCTGTTTCTACCAAAAAGATAAGTGAGCTTTTGTGGGACGAACCATTAAAGAAAGCACCTTTCTAATACTGATGATGAAATCTTGCATTACCCAATAAATCCGAAAATTTTGCTCTTTTGATTCAGATAATTTGCAGATACTCCCATTTTGTAAAGTCCTCCTTTGAAAAAATGGACTTCATTTGAGAATGTGCATGTTATAGTAACCTTTCCTGATATCTTTTGTGTATCATGGATGATACTTATTAGCATATGAAAGAAGTAACAGTAACAATGTAGAATTAGAGTCAATCTTGAATATGACAGTCATGTTTGCATTTGAACGGGTTAGTTAAATGGTATGTTTTATGTATATTTTAAGAGTATTTCTTCCTTTTAGGGTCTATAGATAGGAATTAAAGCATAGGTTACAGTGGAATGGGAGACTACCAGATCATTGGGAAGACTCATTGTCGTCTGCTTTGGTAATCTGTGAACATGCTGTTCTTGTGGGCTGAAAGCATTTGACACCTGCTTCTTCAGTTATGTCTGCCCTTTCCACTGTGCCTAAAGAAAACATTGGAAGAAGGATTGATAAGAAATTGGTTCCACTTGAAAATAATTATCAGATAGCTAATGTGTGAAGTCAAACAAACTTTAGAGAGAGGATGACATGACATGTTTCTGAAAGTCTTTTGAGAACCCAGCATTGGTTAATGATCAGGATATAACTAATCCTGGAAAGAGGGTGGCTGTCGTGGTGGGAATGGCTCCGCTGTCCCTTCCCTCAACGATACATCTCTCCGGAACCCGTGAACATGACTTTATGTGGAAAGAGGATCTTTGCAGATGTAATTAAACTAAGGATCTTGAGAGGAGATCATTCTGGATTACTGAGTGAGCCTTGAATCCAGTGGCCAGTGGCCACTGTCCTTATAAGAAAGAGAAGACAGACACAAGCGGAGAAGGTGATGTGCAGAAAGAAATAGGGAGCCGAGGAAAGCCAAGGGTGCCAGCAGCCACCAGCCAGGAGGTGGGTGTGAAATGGGCGTTCTCTCAGAGCTTCCCAGAGGAGCCAGCGCTGCGGATGCCTTGATCTTGGATTTCTGGCCCCACAACTGTGAGAGAACAAATCTTTTGTTCAGAGCCACCAGATGTGGGATCATTTGTTACAGCAGCTAACACAGTAGCTGTTTAATGATATTTAAGTACCTTTTTGCATGGGATGTTAGTAGGTGGCAGAGATTAGGAGTGGAAGCAAGATGAACATGGTAATTTGGATATTTACTGTGTCTTGAATGTGAAATGTTTTGTATTACCGCCACCGGAAGGCAGGATGATTGTATGAGAATAAATACTGCTGGGTTTGATTAGAGGAACAAAGCTTGAGTATACCACAGAGATGAAGGTGATAGTTTTAACTTTGTCATCTTCTCTGGTGAACTTTCTAGACCGGGTGAGGTCTAGAAATTAGCGTTTTCTCTCTGCAATATTGGGTGCATGGATTAGAACTTGCTTTTGTGGATTTGCTAGAATTTGGACTCTACATTCTCATGAAGAGTTGTTTTATAATTTTTATTAAATTTGTCATAAAAATGAGAACACTTGGACAGTTTCTCACTTATTTAAAAAAAGGGTGGCTTTTTGTCCTTTTTCCTTTCCTTTCCTTTGTCCTTTTTCCTTGGTGAGTTTGAGGACCGCATTTCAGTTCCTCTTCTAGTACTGTGTACCTTCCCAGTTCACAGCATGCTGTGTGGCTGATTTTTAAGTGGAGGTGAACATGGTTCCATATGATGCTACACATTCATGTTTAGGTGAAAAGAGGGGCACTTTCTTTTCCATTGGCATTGTGGTTCTGAAAGTCCTGGGAGAAGCCAGTATTTCTGAAACAATGGAGACTTTTGTTTTGAGTAAGCTTGTATGTGAATGACCTAAAGGAGCGATTTTGAAATTTTGTGTAGAAAGATCCACTTCTGCTCTATCCACACAGATATTTTTTAATCCACAAATATTTTTGCTATCTCTCTTTCTCCCTTTTTCTTTCCCTTTTAAATACATACTCCTCATAGGAAAAGACTGCTTTAAAAAGAAAATTCTCTGTTTAAGTAGGTGGCTTTTGTCATGCCTGAAGCAATCTCGGAACTTCCTCCTTTTGGCTGTGAACATTTCTGTTGACCTTGTGAAGAGCTTTCAATAGCCACAGGAGCCCACACCTCCTGTTCCCCCCTCCTGGCTAAAAGATGCTTCACTTCTTCCTGTTGTAGACA